AACTATACATAGGGAAGAAACAGATCCACTTCATTAGGTGTTCTTCAGAACACGTCAGTAATACCTGGCAATACAGTTAATATGGATGACAAATCAACAAGCCAATGTAAGGACACATAGACTGAAAATGAAAGGATGAAAAGATATTCTTTGCAATGGAAACCAAAAGAATTCTGAGCAGCTCTACATGCATCAGACAAAACAGGCATTAGAACAAATACTGTAATAAAAGGCAAAGAAGGGTATTACAGAATGAAAAGCGAGTCAATCTAAAAAGAGCATATATCATTTGAAAACATTTATGGACTCAACATAAGAGCAACTAAATATATGAACCAAATATTTACAGTCTTAAAGGAGAAATAGACAACAATGCAATAATAATACAGGACTTGAATACCCCATTTTCTCCAGAGAATAGATCATCCAGACAGAAAAGCAATATAGAAACACTGGCTTTAAATGACACATTAACCAGATGGACTTAACAGACACATACAGAATATTCTATCATTCTATCTGAAAGAAACAAAATACACATTCTTCTCTAGCACACATGGAACATTCACCAGGATACATCAGATGTTAGGCCACAACCAAGTCTTCATAAATTTAAGAATAATGAAATCATATCAAGCACATTCTCCAACCACAATAGCACGAAACTAAAAGTCAACTACAAGAAGAAAACTAGAAAACTCACATATATGTAGAGATTGAACAACTGGGTCAAAAAAACAAATCAAGAAAATTCAAAAAAATACCTTGCAACAAATCAGTAAGGAAATACAACTTACCAAAACTCATGGGATGAAGCAATATCAGTTTTAAGAAGGAATAATTGCCTACATAAAGAAACAAGAAAAATCTCAACCTAACGATACACCTCAAGGAACTAGAAAAAGAAAATGAAGCCCAAAGTTAGTCAAAGAGAGGAAATAACAAAGATCAGAAAAGAAATAATCTAGAAGAAATGGGTAAATTACTAGAAACATACAACCCACCAAGACTGAATCAAGAAAAAAAAGAAAACTGAATAGACTAATTACTTAGTAAGGAGATTAAATCAGTAATCAAAACACTCCCAACAAACAAAATCCTGGATCAGATGATTTCACTGATCAATTCTATAAAACATCTAAGAATTAATATGAATCCTTAACAAATTCTTTCTAAATACAGAACAAGAGGACACACTTCTAAACTCATTTTACAAGGCCAATATTTCCTGAATACCCAAGCCAGACAGGATGCCACAAGAAAAGATAATTACAAGCCAAAATTCTTGATGAATACTGATCCAAATACCTTAACAAAATATTAGCAAACCAAATTCAACAATACATTAAAGGGATCATACACCATAATTAAATGGGATTCATTCCAAGGATGCAAGGATAGTTCAACATCCACAAAATAATCAATGTGAATACCATATTAACAAATGAAAGATAAAAATCATATGACCTTATTATATACAGGATTAGAATCTTATTAGATGCAGAAAAAGATTTTAACAAATTCAACATCCATTCTTGATAAAAACTCTAAACAAACTGGTCATGGAGTGAACTTACCTCAACATAATAAAGACCATACATGACAAGCTAACATCATATTTAACACTGTAAAGCTAAAACTTTGCCCCTAATATCAGGATCAAGACAAGGATACACAATCACCACTTCCCTTCAACATAGTGTTGGATGTCCTAGCCATGGCAATTAGACTAAAAAAATAAATAAAAGGCATCCAAATCAGTAAGAAGGAAGCAAACTGTCACTACTTGCAATTCACATATTACATATAGAAAACCCTAAAAACTCCACCAAAAAACTGTTAGAACTAATAAAAAATTCAGTGAAGCTGCAGGATACAAAGTCACTACACAAAACTTTGCTGCTTTTCTATATACTAATAATAAACTATCAGAAAGAGAAATTAAGAAAGCAATCCCATTTACAATTGCATCAAAAAAGTCCCAAAATATTTAAGAATAAATTTAACCAAGGAGGTGAAAGATCTGTACACTGAAAACTATAAGACACTGATGAAAGAAACTGAAGACACAAAAAAGTGGAAAGATATTCTGTGCTCATGGTTTGGAAGAATCAATATTGTTAAAGTACCCATAATGCCCAAAGCAATCTACTTAATTCAGTGCAATCTCTATTAAAATCCCAAAGGCAATTTTCACAGAAAGAGAACAATCCTAAAACATATATCCTAAATCTTGTATCAAAAAACAATTCTAAAACTTAAAAGATCCAAAATAGCCAAAACAATCTTGAGAAAGAACAAAGCTGAAGGCATTACACACCTTGATTTGAAACCATACTAAAAAGCTACAGTAATGAAAATAGTATGGTATTGGAGTAAAAACTGACATACATATAAATCAGTGGAACAGAACAGACAGGCAAGAAATAAACCCACCCATGTATGGTCAATTAAAAGATGACAAAGGAGCCAAAAATATACAATGGGGAAGGATAATCTCCTCAATAAATGGTACTTGGAAAACTGCACAGCCACATACACAGAATGAAACTGGACCACATCTTACACCACTCACAAAAAGTAACTAAAAAATGGATTAAAGATTTGGATATAAGACCTGAAACCATAAAACTATTTGAGGAAAACACAGGTGATAAGCTACTTGACATTAGTCTTGAAGATGGTTTCCTGGATTTAACACCAAAAGCAAATTTGACACTAAAAGCAAAAATAAACAAGTGGGACCACATCAAACCAAAAAGCTTCTGCAGAGCAAAAGAAACCATCAACAAAATGAAAAGGCAACCTACCAAATGGGAAAGAATATATGCAAATCATATATCTGATAATGGGTTAATAACCAAAGTAGATGAACACATGCAACTCAATAGCAAAAAAAACCTGAACAATCTAATAAAAATGGGTAGGAAATCTAAAGAGACTTTTTCCCAAAGATGACATACAGACAGTTATCAGGTACATGAAAAGATGCTCAACATCACTAATCACCAGAGAAATGCAAGTCAAAACCACAATAACATATTACCTTACACCTCTTAGAGTGACTATTATAAAAGAGAGAAGAAATAACAACTGTTGGCTAGGATGTGGAGAAAAGGGAACTCTTGTGCACTGTTGATGGGAATGTAAATTGGTATAGCCACTAAGGAAAACAATATGTAGTATGGTTTGGTATGGTACCTAAAAATAGAACTACAACTGACCCTTGAACAACACAGATTTGAACTGCATAGGTCCATAACACAGGTTGTTTTGGTAAGTATGTTGGAAAATGTTTTGGAGACTTTCATCAATTTGAAAAAACAGACAAACTACATAGCCTAGAAATATCAAAAAAATTAAGAAAAAGGTTTGTCATGAATGCATAAAATATGTGTATATACTACTCTATTTTATCATTTACTACCATAAAATATACACAAATCTATTATAAAGTTAAAATTTATCAAAACTTATGCACACAAACACTTCCAGACTATTCATGGAGCCACTCACAGTTGTAAGAAATGTAAACAAATTGTTGCAAATCTCAAAAAAATGTTCCAATGTATTTATTGAAAAAAAAATCCACAAAAAAATTCCTGTGAAGCTCAAACCTAGGTTTTCAAGGGTCAACAGCAGGCTATTAGCAGTTAAGTTTTTGGGGAGTCAAAAGTAATTGCCATATTTTTGACTGCACAGAGTTTCAGAGCCCATCACCTCTGCTGTGTTCAAGGATCAAATGTAATGTATGAGCCAGTAACTCCACTTTTTGGTATTTATTCAAAGAAAAAAAACCATGAACTTGAAAAGATATAAGAAGCCCCACGTTCACTGCAGCATTATTTACAATACTCAAGATATAGAAACAACCTATGTGTCCCTCAACGGATGCCTAGATAAAGAAAATATGGTATATATACATACAATGGAATATAATTCAGTAATAAAAAAGGAAATCTTGCCATTTATGAAGTCTTGGATGGACCATGAGAGCATTATGCTAAGTAAAATAAGTCAGGCAAAGAAAGACAAATACCATATGATCTCATTTACATATGAAATCTAAAAAAATTATAACAAAACCAATATGATATCCAGAACAGACAGGTGGTTGCCTGAGGCAGGGTATGTGGGATGGGCAAAATACATAAAGGGGGCCAAAAGATACTAACTTCCAGTTGTAAAATAAATAAGTCATGGGGACATAATATATAGCATGGTGACTATAGTTAATAATACTGTATTGTATATTTGAGTTGCTAACAGAGTAGATCTTACAAGTCCTCACCACGAGAAAAAAAATTTCATAACTTTGTGTGGTGACAGATGTTAAGTAGACTCACTGTGCTGGTCATAATATGTATATTATATATTATGATATATATACATATATAAATGTCACAAACATGTAAATATCATTATGTTGTATACTTGATAGTAATATAATGCTATATGTCAAATATCTCAAGAAAAAAAAGAAAACCTATTTATTTCATATGCATCAAATACATAAGAACATTTAAAATATATATGTGCACATGAAAAGAAACTAATAGAATGAACTACCGTGTATTCACTGCATCTGTTTTAAACACACTTACCAGAACCCTAGAAACCCCTTAATCCCATTACCTTCTCTCCCCTTGAGGTAACCATTATTGTCACTCCTGTGTTAATCATTCTCTTACTTTTCTCATTAGTCTTACCTCTAATATGTAACATACATATCTCTGAACAATATAGTGGTACAAGGGCATGATGCCCTTATAAATAAAGGCAAAAGTAAAGAAAGATAGGGGAAGATAAACTGAACACCCTCTGTGTCACTCTCCAATTTCAACTCTCTAGAAAGTTAACAGATTTCTCTCTGGAAAAGTGAGCAAAGATACAAATCACAGAAAACACATAGGTTGACCACAGTCAGGGCTTCTAGCAGGCTAATACAGTCTAGTATCCTTACAGCAGAAATATAGGTAACAGAGCATACTACTGTACACCTTTTGTTTCTATGCTCACCAGGTGACCCACCAGGCCTTAGGAGTAGGTCAAAGCAGAATACATTTCAGAAGTGAAACGAGTATCCTCAGTTGAACCAGGCAGCAGAGCACAAAGGGAAAGCAGAAATTTCTATAGCATATGAACCTGGGAACAGATTAAAACCAGTGAGTTAAGCTCAATGGAGTAGCCTACCGTCAGGTTAAAAAGAACAGTGACAGGAAGCATCTTGCTAATTATTGCCTTAAACATTGCTATGTCTTGATTCATGTATCTCCAATCCAGAGTGATTGTCCTTGGGTTTCCTTACGATTTAGAGTAATGGATTAAAAAGATTATAACTGAACTGTGTGTGGGGCTTAGTGACTTAGCTCAAGGAAACCCATGTCAGATCTCTTCTCTAGGGCCACTCAGAAATCTCTGAGAATAATATTTCAACTCCCTACTTTGCCAGCAGCATTCTGTGAACCTAGAGGAGAAATGGGGGTAAAGCTGGGGAGTGAGGTGACTCTGCTCTCAGATTCAGTATGCATACAATCACTTATTCTTCTCCCACTATGGTAATTATGATACTTCCAATATTATTTCCAAATAGTGAACAGACATTATTTTTGGGATTTAGGAACAAATACCTAGAATTTTCCAAATCTCAAGTTAGTCTGTACCTTTCATATTATTTCATTTATGCATTTTTAAGTAATAATGAGTGACTATTAAAAATAGTGATTTATCTGCAATAATGTAATAAAAGTATCAAAGATTTTCTATTAAAAGAAAAAATCTAGTAATAAATCCATGCATTCTTACTGTGAACCAATATACTATGATAAGATTATATATTGCATAACCACATAAAATGATTTCTATCTGAACTACACATGGGATAATAAAAGATTTTAGGAGAGTGATACCATCAAAATGGCAGATTGGGGGTTTTCTGAGTTTTCAACTGTTATCCCGTGGGGAAAATGGAACTTTCTGTCCAGGATTCCCACCAGACCTTAATAGCACCCACTGAATTCTACTTGCACACTTACGGAATGTTTACCTGTGACAGAGCTGCTGATCAGTCACAGGATTGCTGGTCCAGGGTAGGGGTGAAAAGGAAACACCCATTCTCTCCTCCCCTCTGTAAATGCTTAAGCATCTGCCAGTCACCAGGGACCCACCCACAGGGTTCCTCCTGGTGCAGGATGTGGGGCACTGGGGGAGCAAGTAGTGCAGATGGAGAGGGAGAGCTGGGGAGCCATGTGAGAGGGAGTCCCAACCGGATGTGAGGAGAGGAGAGGCTGAGCTGTGAGAATAAGTCCATTAATTCCCAACTTCTTGCCTTGCCTTAATGTCTTATCGAATTCATAGGGAACCTGCCCCAGATGGGGAAACCCCCAGAGTTATATACCCTAAAGAACACCAATTATAGTAACCACCCACAGACAAGACAGTCTTTGTGGAAGTCCAGGAGTCCAGCAGAGAAGTTCCAGCACACCACTGAAACAAAAAATTCCACAACTGTATTCACTGAACAGAGTAAGAGGAAATGTTTGACTAATGCATCACCCCTCCCACAACAGGCCACAGCTCTGTGCCAAGAAAGTCCTTTTTGGTCAGTGATTTCTCCTGCAGGGGTAAGTGAGAGCCTATGCGGGGTGCTTGGCTTCCCCAGCTGTTCAAGACAACACTGCCAAAGAAGGCTATTTCTCTGGCTCCATTGAGAGTACTGAATTGTGAACTGCACAACTGGGGACAGTCAGTGGCCAAGAGAAAGATAGCCATAGCCAAGGCACAGATGGCCAGGACTCAGAAGAGAACATATGGAAGGTATGTAAATCCTCCTAACTGCTTTACGGATTCCACCAACAGGCCTGCCTATGAGCCCCTGGGACACCTGGCCTGCAGATCCCCATAACTAGCCCATGGGCATACCCAGTGCTCCATAAACCTCACCCACACCACCACACACCCGTGTACAGGTCCCTGTGTGCTCCCCATGGCCACAAGAGCAAGCTTTTGCATTTGCAGATAGCTAGTGAGCATGCCTAAAATGCCAGTCCATGAGAAACCACAAACTTGAACACTGAGCACTAAATAGGGAAACCAAGAGGGAGGCTGTGTGCACCTGGTCTAACTTTGCAGGATCAAGAGAAGGCACACAAGCTTAAGAATTCTGATAAAAGAGGGAGAAGGAGTGTGAAGCAACATGCCCAAAGACACATGAGAAAGCCTCAGAATCTCTAACGAGCCTGATAGAGGGTATTTCTCTACCAAACCAGTCTGTGAAGATTGGAAGTGACTCCTTCCTCAAATGCAAAGACAGCAACCCAAGAGGTCAAAGAACAAGAAAAATCAAAGAAACATAACAAAAAAGGAACCCAAAAAGGTTCAGTGAGCTACAAGGAAACACAGAAAAACAATTCAGTGAAATTAGTAAACAGACCAAAAGAAAAGAAGAAAAAAAGAGAGAGAGGTTTAACAGAGAGATAGAAATCATAAAAAGTAACCAAACAGAAACTCCAGAGCTGAAGAATACAACAAATTAAACGAAATATATAACAGAAAAAAATCAACAAGAGAAGAACATCTGCTTAGAAGAAAGAGCCTATAAAGTAGAAAGTTAAATTGTTTTTTTAAGTTAAATTGTTACACTGTAAAACAGACTGTTATATACTATTTTATGTAAGCTTAATGGTAACCCAAGAAGCAAAAACCTCCAGGAGAGAAAGGAATCAAAGCTACATGAAATCATCAATTTGCAAAGGACATCAGAACTAAATATGATAGAGGAAACAGTCAGAAAACAGTAAGATGGCATAAATAAGGCTTACCTATCAAGAATAACTTCAAATATAAGTGGATTAAGTTCTCCAGTTACAAGGCATAGAGTGGGGGTGCACAAATAAAAAACAAGACCTAACTGTGTAATGCATACAAAAGACAAACTTTTTATGCAGACACAAAGGCTCAAAATGAAGTAAAAGAAAGGATAGCCCATGCAAATGGAAACCAAGAGACAATGAGTGACTATTTTTATTTCAGATAAGACAGATTTTAACTGAAATAAGCTGAAATAAGGACTTGTAGTGAAAAAGATGGAGGCGTAGGAAGGCAAGGCAGAAGCTTCCTCACACACACACTAAGGAAGCAACTACAGCGAAAGCAAATAACCCTGAAAACAACCTGAAGATTGAGAACAGACCACCTACATGTGGTGAAGAAGAGAAGACAACACAGAGAAGGGTAAAGTGTCAGAGTCACAATCGATCCCAGCCCACAAGCAGGAGGGAGAGGAATGGAGTGCAGAGTGGATAAGTGCTCAGGAACTCTGTATACCTAGCCCTTGAGATCTTCTCTGGGAACACAGTCCACATTGCACTGGGCTTCAGTGATTAACAGGGCTGGACATCATGGAGAGTTAGAGCAATCTGGGAGGCTGGGACTCTTGCTGAGGACAGGGATGCTCTATCAGTCCTGCAGAGACCCAACACAGAGGAGGCAGTATGAAAGATTTACCAGCAACAGGAAGGGTGCCAGAGGTGTGGGGGTTGGATGGAGGTCTCTCTGCAGGAGAAAGGGCAGGTAGGCAACAATTCCCCAGCCCTTCCTCAGCTCAATTGGTCAGGCACTCACAGGCACCAGCCCAAATATTCCATTCCCCTTACTGGTGGCTCAGCCTGAAAGCACTTCCCTGCAGCCAGACCACCAACCCACCCAACCACCTGGCACACTCAGCTCAGCAACAGTCAGAATTCACTGTCTTGCAGGTAGAGGGAGACTTTACTGCTTGCCAGGAAAAGGGAGGCTTTTGCAGCTTTCTCAGCCCAACGTGGGAGGTGCCTGAGGAAGCCAGCTCGAGGTGCTCATTCCTCCTTGCTGGCAGCCCAGACCAGTGCCATGCTTCCCTGTGTACCCACCCTGGCCACAACAATCCAAGCAGAAGTGTAGCTGCTCTGCTCACAAAGGGCCAGCAGAGGAGAACAGACCACCATGGCCAACTGAGATCAGAAACCATGAGTAGATAGGCAGAAAGGCAGCCCCTACCGATAATAATTTCAGCACAAGCACCACTGCTCAGCTCACAAAGGGCCTCTGCTGACAGAACTCAGACACTACTGGCAGACAGGTGACATTGCCCATAACCCACCAACAGCAAATGGGACTCCACTGCAAAGGAGAACCAGGCACTGGAGAGTAAAAAGTCTTGAGCTTCTGGGCACCAAAGGATGCCCACTTCACAAAGCCATTATTTACCAGACCAGGAGGCATACATGATCTACATAATACAAAGGAAAAAACACACAAACCCTGACTAAATGAAAAGGCAGAGGGGTATGTTCCAAACACAACTGCAGGATAAGGCATGAGAAAGACAACTAAATAAAATGGATATCACCAATCTCCTTGATAAATTTTTCAAAGTATTGGTCATAAATATGCTCACTGATCTGCGAAGAAGTACTGATGATCTCAGGGAGGACTTCAACAAAAAGAAGAGTTGAAAAAGAGCCACCCAAAGCTGAAGAATACAGCAACTGAAATGAAATATACAATGGATAGGGATGAATAGATTGCTGCAAGCAAAGGAGATAATGAGATGGAAATTAGAGAACAGGAAAACAACAAAGCTGAGGAACACAGAGAAAAAAGAATCTCTAGAAACCAGAGGAGGCTAAGATAGCCATGTGACAACTCCAATGAAACAATATTCACATAATAGGGGTAACAGAAGGAGGAGAGACAAAGAAGTACAAAATCTCTTTGAATAAATAATTACTGCAAACTTCCCCTATCTGGCGAAGGAAATAAGACACCCAGGTCCTGCAAGTACAGAAAGTCCCTAACAAAAGGAACCCCAGGAAGACACCACCAAGACATATAATAATTAAAGTAACAGAGATTAAGGAAAGGAGATGGTATTGAAAACAGCTACAGAGGCTAAACCCCATCAGGCTATCAGCAGACTTCTCAGCAGACTCTACAGGCCAGAAGAGAGTGGCATGAAATATTTAATGTATTGAAACAAAAGAACCTTCAACCAAGAATCCTATACCCAACAAGGTTATCATTCAAAACTGAAGAAGAGGCTAAAAGTTTCCAAGATAAACAAACGTAAAAGAAATTCACCAGCACTAAACCAGCCTTACAGGATACAT